GTCCCTTTATTAAAGGAAACCTGTTCAGATCCGCAGGTGGTTAAGGATCTAAAATTGTCACGAACTAAATGTACGCAGATAATAAAAAATGTAATAGGCAAACGCGAAAGCGATAAGCTTATTACAGAATTAAAAATTCAGAAATTTTCAATATTAATTGATGAAAGCACGACTATATGTTTTATATATAATGTTCTTGTTTGAATACTAGTAAGGTTTTCTGCAGTTTTTCTTACTCTCGCAACAAATGTTTGTATTCATGTAATAAATCGGCTGCAGATGTACAAAATAATAAAAAAATATATATTCATTTATTTCCATGTAAATATGTTATTTCTTTTAAAAATGTCCTCTTCCTGTAATTTCTACCGTATTTCAATTGTCACAGGGGTCTAACGATACCCCATATTTGAGTGAAGTATATACGTTACTGAGGATTAGGTAGTGCGCATGCGTGGGAAAAATCCCACGTCCTCGCATCACTGGACCCAGCTCCCCTAACGTGGGACGTTCTCATCTGGGCAGGTTTAGTGAAGTAAAAATTCCACACAGGCCGTCTGCATCTGTCTGCATCCCCAGCAGAGGGGGTACGCCTTTTGAAGGTTCCACCCCGTCAAAAAAAAGTTTTCCAAGGAATATGGTTTATCAGTTTGTTAGAGAGATGCGCGGACGAATCTGACGCAGTCAGAAAGCCGCTAGGATGTCTGAAAACAAGAGGACGAACCTGATGCGAAATCAGAGAGCCGCTAGATAGGTCTAGTTTCGTGGACGAACCCGATGCAAAATCGGAAAGCTAGGTTGGAAAACTCATGGAAAAGTGAAACGTGCGGACGAACTTGAAAGCCTCATAACTCGTTTTATAAATATACATAGATACAACTCGAGCGGTAAAGTTGTATCGTGTGGGAAAGGTCAACTACGACTATAATGATTATTAAACCAATGAATTTTAAGAAATGAAATTACTCACGTTTATTAACCCTCATCGGTCCCTCGAGAAATACATCTAATCGGTCCCATTGTATGCGCGCGCATACACATATATTTTTAATTGTAAAAAAGCTAAAAAAATTAACAACCATTTATGTTTTGTGATTTTTTATGTTTATTATATTGTTTACTATCATATTAATACATTTGAACTTCATAAAGGTAGATTTAGAATAAAATTAAAATTAGATTATTACATATATTAGAAAAAAAAATTGAATTTTTAACTTTTGTCAATTATTTGTACATTTTTCGCATAAATTGAAATTATATTCAGCACAAATGAAATTTCTACACTTTTCACAGCGTGTAGCAAAAAGATTTTTGTTATTTTTATATGTGCAGATGTAGCATCGGCCTCGTTTTGATGTACTTGGTAAATGGCGAATCTCCCGAATTCTTTGAATAACACTGGAAGCATCATTACTTTGAGGTTGTTTTTTACGTTTAGTGATCTGTTTTTCAACGAGATTCAATCCAAGCTCCTCGATAAAAAGGCGACGACGAATATTATGGTTCGTTTTAGAATTTTTCCAATTCGGGAACAATGCAATGAACGTCACGAATGCATTCAACGCACTAACATCAAGCATGTTACAAAATACTGCCATTGGCCACCGATTGACTTTTCGTTTGCATGTGTACGTAGCCACCATTTGATCCATAGTATCAACTCCACTCTTGGTTTTGTTGTAGTCTTCAATGATGTTAGGTTTCTTCTGTTCACTATTCTCATTTATGCTGACAACATTGTGGTATGTACTGAGCAATGTCACAAATCGGTACCGGCGAGGAACATATGACAACATAACTGCTTGCAATTTATGTTCATATACAACTTCTGTATGATAAATTGGCTTTTGACGCATGTCGAGTAGAACTGAAGGAATTTCAGTCCTATTTTTCCTTATTGTTCCCAAAATAGTCATGCGATTCTTATGCAAATCTTCTGCCAATTCATACGAAGTGAAAAAGTTGTCACACGTTCCCATTTCTGTCAGAAAGTCCTTCCACCAAATCCAAAACAACACGCCGTCCGAGATTGCGTTCAGGAGTGGCATTACGATTCCGACCAACATAAATTTGTGTGTTGTATGCATACCAGCTTTTTGAGTCGCATAGCACCCAAATTTTGATGCCATATTTCGCCGGCTTGGATGGAATATACTGACGAAACGGACATCGCCCACGATACGGAACTAACTGTTCATCTACGGTAATGTTTTTTCCTGGTGTGTATACAGCTTTCAAATTATGATTCCATTTATCGTATACATTTCGAATCGGTGCCAATTTGTCACGAACAGAAGTACTTGTAGATGCAGTGTTGGCCATACGTTGTTCGCGGTCATCAAATCGAATGCAACCATGGATACGCTTGAACATTTTCAAAGACATTGTTGCTCTAAATATTGGCCGACCAGTTTCTTCATTCCACAGTTTAGTGACACATTCACCGTATGACCGATACACACCAGAAAGCAGCAACAATCCAAAGTATGCGTGCAGAGTGTCCAAATCAATGTTTTCCCATTCGTCTTTGTACTTTCGCACACCATATAAATTCGTCATGTTCAAAATAATATTCTCAACCGGTCCAAGGAACATGTGAAATGCAGACGAAACATCAACTATATTAGCAGCTGCTAATGCTTTTGGACCTGAATTATAACAAAAATGAAACATATAATGAACATGAACCCATAACAAAGAGGGTAGGTTTTTACCTGAAGTGAAATTTTCTGCACGTCGAAATGAATTTCTTCGATTTATTTCAAATGCTTGCGATGAATATTCAATTTTCTTATTTTTTGAAAAATATGTATTTTCAGGATTTGCTGCATTTTCTTCTGCTAAATTTTGCTCAAGTGACTCAATGTCGTCTTCATCCGAATGCACGCTAACTTCACTTTCATCATTCTCCTCGTCTGATAATGCAAAATCATCGTCACTATTGCACGGAGATTCGCCCGCTTCGCTTTCCAAATCAAAATCCATTTCTAGGTCATCTCGCTGCCTTCTTTCACGTAAAACTCTATCCATTTTTTATCAAATACTTCGAAACACAACCAAAATTCAAATAAATGCATAAAACGAAAAAATAAGAGCGTGCTATAAATCCACACACAAAAATAAGCGGCAATTCCAGTGAGAACGAGGCTTCCTCAAAAAGGAATATTTCGTCATCCAGGCGGCCGAAATGCGTCGCGGCCGCGAGAACGAAAAGACGATCCTGTGACCGAGGGGGGAAGAAAGGAAGCTCCACGCGACTCGCGTTATGCGAGTCGGGCAGTCGGTCGAAGACTACACGTACAAACGTATCTGTTGACACCAGACAATAAATATCCTTTGTTCTTTTACTACACGTACAAACGTATCTGTTGACACCAGACAATAAATATAAATATTCATTTATTACAATAAACAGAAATATTCATTTACTACACCAGGTACCTGCTTATGTGTATGCGCGCACATACACAGGGACCGATTCGTAACTATAACTGCACAGGCAAATACAGTAAGGGTACAAATTCAAAAACGGGTTTTTTTGGTTGTTCAGGCAAAATAATTCTACTTTGCAAAATACAAGGTCATTCCGCTGAACCGTTTTTATTTTATTCAAGGTTAAAGATCAAAATTGTATGCGTGCGCATACGGGGGACCGATGAGGGTTAAAGAATACTGCTTAAATATTACAAAACCAGGTTTCGGTATAAGTATGTATAGTGTAGTGTTGTCGTGGTAAAGTATTAAGTGTAATACATATTACCAATTAAATGCTCGGTGTTAACGCACTGGCAATGCGGAGACTAAGAGACCGAACTCGCGGATTCTATAAGGTTGACTGATGATTCGAAAGGGTACTTAAGCCCGATCTCACTGGATACAACTGACTCTTTACCGGATACAATACGTCGTGACTCTACACATATACAAGTAACTGCACTATTTTGGCCCCGGGAGGGTTAAAATCAGAGGGTTTATACATATCGTCCCTAAACAGAGTGAGGGTTTCATTAGAATGTTCATATAAGGAAATCTTCACGGTCGCGAGTGAATCACATCATATCTCTGGTTGCTATTCAGTTGGTCGAGATTACGCTCCCCCTATTACTTGAGGAATAAACAGACGGAGTATTAGAGCGTTTTCCGTTGCCAAGCGCGCGGTTAAATACGATTGAAAAATGAAAATTATTGACTCTACAATAATATATTCTATAGTAGTACTAGAATAGACTCTATAGTAGCACTAGTATTGACTCTACAATTCATCTTGTACATGAGACTTTTAATTACAATGTTATTTCGACAATGATCTATACTGATATCTAAAATCTCTGTAGAAAATTCTATCGCGAATACTTGTTTTTTCTAATCGAAGTTCAATGTTTAGATAAAATTTTTCAAAACATACTGAACTAGGAATTACATAAATATCGACTAAGATATAAAAAAGAATGCGATTTATTCCGTAACAATAACATTAACATCACAATACGGCAGTGGTTTTCATAGAATGGTTAATTTAGAAAACATTTTGTCCATTTTCATTATACATTAAGAAACTTTTGGTATTCGTCCGGAGGCGCAAAGAAAATTTATTAAATTACGTTAATGTAGTCAATTTCATCATTGGAATGTAACTACTCAAACGGGTCGACAAAATTGGTAGCATCTCAGATCAGAAATCAATTGAAGCACTGATCTTGTTAATGTTGGTTGATCCTATGAATATTTAATAAAATTAATAAAATGAACTAGAAATATGAATTATAGCAATAAAAATGTACTCATCATGCCGTTGCGGTGAGACAGTGAGGCTCAGGTGAGAATACATTTTCGAAATTTAACTTACTGTAGACTTATCAAAGTTTCCTAATAATGTAGCTTTTTGCATATCATCCACACATTCACAGCTTCCCAAAAATGTTGGCAGAAAATGTCCAAAGAACCATCCTATGTTAACAGAAGCTAAACTATGAATGGCTGCTGCAATTTCATCTGCCAGTAAATTGTGAGATCTGTAAAGTAATAGTACAGTTAATGATACATTTATGGAAAGTTATTTCTTTGGTAGAAATTCTAAATGTTTCAAGTTACTGTTGAAATAAAACGGTGAATAATGCCATTAAGAATCTCTCCAGCAGATGCACCTTAAACACAGATCTTTGGTAAAGTCGCCATCGTACGTTCAACTGTTCAAGACTCTGTAAACTTTGTCGGAATATGTTAACATCTGGCTGAAGAAGGGCTTGACCAAAAGCTTCCAAGATGGCGACCAATTCTTCCTTGTGCTCAACAGATTCTTCTTCGTCCGTATGACCAAGAGTTCGTAAAACGGAAGTGTTATAAAAGTATTGCCATCGATGCATCAGAATACTGAAGATTTATGTTAATGAAAATTCTATTACTATTTACAGTATGACATAAAATTTTTAGACAATACCTATGGAATAGTTTTAATAAGACAAGCGTGGTATCCGGATGCGCACTGAGATTATTTCCAACCGCTGGCCACACTTGACCCAAACACAAACTGGTCACAGAGGGAACAAACGCTTTAAATGCATTGCTAGGTGCTGATACAACTAATATTAAAATTTCTAATAATTGGTCCAATGCAGGTCCCACCGATATATTTTCCCTGCAAATGTGTTAAATAAAAAATTTGGTTTGTGTTTCTGCTAGACATACAGGAGAGGTAGATATATTCTTTTGTAAAAACAGTAATTTATATCTGACAACGAGGTATGAGAACCAAATTTCAATGAAATGGAATCGAATATTTTGGCAATGTCTTTTGTTAGACGCAAAGGCTTAGTAACAAAAAATTAAATTATTTACCTCGTATAAATATGCAACATCCCTTGAACTGCATTCTGAGTAAACTCTGGGCCTAATTGCTGTTGTAATACTGAAAACACTGAATGCAGGAAGCTAAGTAAAATCTCACATATACTTTGACATCTTATCATATATGGCAATAGCTCTAACGTTCGGTTTATCGTGGATCCCAAACAAGAATACAACATCTTTTTAATCGTCGTGGATGACGAAGAACAGTCCTCTAGTAACTGAGTTAATGGCACTACTGTCATTGATATTGTGGATTCTGAAGGTATAGGTTGACTTTCTGAACCCAGAGGTGTGGATAATGTTGATACCATGGTACCTATTCCAATTAAAATACGGTATGAATCCTACGAACCAGTAGGGACTCGGTTTAGGTTGGTACGTGTGGGAACATGTACGCGTGATAACAGAATTGAATAAATGAGAGAAACAGCGAAATTTGCGTATATATATTAAAAGAAAGTTGTGTATAAGAGGTAGGAAGAGGTGAAGTAACATATACGATAAGGACATGGGAAAAAAGACGGGGTAGAATAAGAAAGGTAGAGTACAGGACAGTGAATGGAGGTTAGGAATAACAAGAAATAGTATTGTAAGACGAATAGGACGTACTTAAATAAACAGAAGAAGCAAAATAGGAAAACAAGTAGATAGGCTAATAGATAAAGGAATAGGGAGACTGGATGGGCATGGGATAGGTTAAGGAAAATAAAGCGTTTTCCCTGTGGGCGGGGAACAGAATACGCCCACGGTAATCCCTGCCTGTCGTAAGAGGCGACTAAAAGGGACCGTTGGGATCGCGGGACTGTGGCACCCGCGGTCCGGTGGGGGGGGAGCTCTCCGCTCCCCCCACCACAGAGAGGGCGCTCCGCCGTCAACTGGCGGAGCCGGCGCTGGGGAGGTACCGGTTGTGTTCGCAAGAGATCCCGGTGCCTCCCCGCAGAGCGCCGAGCCCGGCCACCGTGAGGTTTTAGTGGGTATTCCCCCTGGGCTTCGCCCTATTGGGGGTGAGTCCCACACTACCCCCGCCCACTCCTCCCATATTGGGGGAGGGGGGGTGTGCGTAAACGCATTTCCTCACGTAAAAAAAAAAAAAAAGGAAAATAAAGAGTAGGTTAGAGGGTAGAGGTTAAGAAATACAACTGGTCAGGTGGAAATGGATACAGTGAGCGGTAAAAGAGAAATAGAAAACAGAAGGAACATGGAAGATAAGAAAGAGATAGGAAAAACAGGAGAGGCTGCAATTAAAAGGGGAAGGCGGAAACACTGGGGAAAAAACCTGAGAAAGGAACCCAAGACGTGGGATCTATGTTCAGGGAGACATCATATGGAGAAGAGAAAGACAAGAGAAGAATGGAAGCACAGAAAGGGAGGAGAATCAGAGTGAGATTAGAGCAAGACAAGAAGAATCTAAGGATAGTGAAGGAAAATTGATAGGCGACCTAGTTAAAGCGGTAAAATAACTAATAGCAGAAAATAAGACAATGAGAAAGGAGATACAAGAGTTGAAGCAGGATTTACATGAGAGATATAAGGAAGAACTACAAGAAATAAAAGACGAAATAAGAAGAAAAGAGGAAAAAGAAAAGACTGGAAAAGAGGAATGGAAAATAGAGATTGAAAGGCTGAAAGAACATATAAATAACAAGGTAAGGGAAGAATGTAAAAGAGCAGTAGAATGTAAAGGGGATATGAGTAATGGAAGAAGGGGAAATGGAGAGGAAACGAAGGGAAAAGACGTGAGATACATGATGGAGTATATACAGAGAAAAGAAAAATTAGAAAAAAAAAAGAACAATATTATAATAAAAGGGTTAAAGCTAAAAGAACAAGATATAAAAGTGGAGCTAGGGAAATTTGTAAGAGAAAAGGTGGGAGCAAAAGGGGAAATAATTTGGGCAAGGAACGTGGGAAAAGGAATAATAGTAGCAGAGATAGACAGCTGGGAGAACAAACAATCCATAATGAGGAATAAAAAGAATCTGGGAGAAGAGAGAATTTACATAGAACATGATTTAATGTATAAGGAGAGAGAAATACAAAAAAGCATTGTGGAAGAGGCGAGAAGGATACGAGCAACAGGGAAAAAGGTGAAAGTGGGATATCAGAAAATGTTGATAGAAGGAAAATGGATAATTTGGGAAGAATGGAATAAGGAGGAAAAAAAGGATTTTCGAACAAGCCAAGAAAGGAGGCAAGAAACTATAAATTCATAATATGGAATATAGCAGGAGTAAAAGGAAAGGATAAGGAAGTATGGGAAGATCTCACACAATATGATATTATAGGACTAACGGAAACATGAACAGAAAAGAGACTGGGAAATAACAAAGAAAATATTACCAAAGGGGTACAGGTGGACACACCAAGTGGCAAGCAGAGAGAGTAGGAAAGGAAGAGCAAGTGGAGGAATAATTGTAGGTATAAGGGAGAAATGGAGAGAAGAGGAAAAGTTACAGACACCAGGTATGATAACAAAGAAAGTCAAAATAGATAAGGAAATATGGATCATAATGATAGTATATAGGAAAAACGGAACAGAGGAAATATATGAATGCTTAAAAAAGTTAGGAGAAGAACAGGAAGGAGAATACAACATACTGATAGCGGGAGATCTAAACGCCAGGATAGGTAGAGAAGGAGGAAATGTAGGATGGGAAGGGGAAATAGTGGAAAGAAGGTCAAAGGATGAAGTAATAAATGAGGATGGAAAGAAATTGTTGGAAATAGTAAGGGAAAATGGATGGCAGTTTTTAAATGGCAATAAAACCGGAGACGAAGAAGGAGAATATACGTACATCGGCGGAAGAGGGGCAACAGCAATAGACTATGTAGTTACAAACACAGGTGCATGGGATAGGATAAAAGAAATGAGGGTAGGAGAGAGAACAGAATCCGTCCATATGCCGCTAGTAGTAGAGCTTTGGCAAGAGGAAGAGGAAATACAGAAAAAGGAGAAAGGAAAAAAGAGAGTCTTCACGGTATGGGATAATGAAGCAAAAGATATGTACAGAAAACGGCTGGAGGAAGCAGAAATGAAAGAGAGCGAAGTAAAGAAAATATGGGAAAAATTGAAAAAGCTAATCGACAGTAGTATGGTAAAAAAGGAGATATACTCAGGTAAAAGGAAGGAAGAAGTGGCATGGTTTGACGAAGAATGCAAAAGAAGTAAAAGACAGGTAGGAAGAATCTACAAAAAATTCAGGAGTGGGAAAAAAGATAGGGAAGAGTATATAGCAGAAAGAAGAAGACACAGAGAACTTTGCAAAACGAAGAGAGAAAAAAGGAAAGAAGAAGTGGTAGAAGAAGTTAAGGCAGTGAAGACGGAATCGGAGGCTTGGAAGATAATAAATAAATATAGGAAAAAAAGAACAAGAATAAGCAATGAAATTCCCCCCAAAAAATGGAAGGAATATTTCATGAACTTGTTGGGAGGAAAAGAACAAGGGGAAGCGGAACGTAGAATTAGAAAAAGAAGAGAGGAGGATGATGAACGGGATCTGACAACAGAGGAGATAGAAGAACAAATTCAAAAATTGAAAAAGAAAAGAAGGCAACAGGGGAAAATGAAATACCCAGGTAGGCATGGAAATACTGTACAAGTAAAGTGAAAGGAAAAGTTATAGAGATGGTAAAGAAGGTATGGAAAGGAGAAGGTATGCCAAAGGAGTGGAATAAAGGAATAATATACCCACTACATAAAAAGGGAAATATAGAGGAGGTCACAAATTATAAAGGCATCACGCTCTTAAACTCCATATATAAATTATACGCTGCAATATTAAATAAGAGATTGGTAGAGGAGGCAGAGAGCAAAGGGATGCTACCGGAAATACAGGCAGGTTTCAGGAAAAAAAGGAGTATTATAGATAATATTTACATTTTACAACAGGTAGTGTAGAAAGAAAGAGGGAAAAGAGGAGTCAAGATATATGCTTTCTTTATGGATTTAAGGGCAGCTTTTGACACAGTAAACAGGGCGAAATTGTGGCAAGTAATGGAAAGGAGAGGAGTGGGAAGAGGTTTAATAGAAAGAGTGAAAGAGTTATATGAGGAAGTGAAAGCCGAGGTTTATACAGAAGAGGGAAATAGTGAAGAGTTTTGGCTAACAGAGGGGGTGCGACAGGGATGCCCCTTAAGCCCAACTCTGTTTGCATTATATATTTCAGACATGGAAGAACGGCTAAAGGAAATAGGTATAGGAGGAGTAGAAGTGGGAGGAATCAGGATATGGAGTCTAGCATATGCGGACGATGTGGTGTTAATAGCAAAAAGTGATGAGGCACTGAAAGAGATGTTGAAAATTTTGAGCAGATATTTAAGGGAGAAACAGTTAACTTTAAGCACGGAAAAATCAAACGTGATGGTGTTTGAAGAAGGTAGACGGAGGAAAAAGAATAGACGATGGTATTGGGGGGATAGGGAATTAGAGGAGGTTAAAAATTTCACATATCTGGGTTTTACTTTCAGCAAAAGCGGAGAAAACAAGGAGCAAGTAAATAAGTTAGCCAAGAAAGCGATGATGGCAATAAGGCAGGTTTGGGGTTTGGGAGAAAGACTATTTAGGGATAATTTTGGGATAAGGATGTGGTTGTACGAAAAATTGGTAGAGAGTGTGATGATTTATGGAGTAGAGGCATGGGGTTGGAGGGAATGGGAGGTGCTGGAAAGGGTGCAAATGAGGTATGTAAAGTGGTACTTAGGACTGGACAGATGGACACCTAATTACATAGTAAGGAAAGAGACGTTGAGAAATAAGTTTAAAATTAAAACAATAGAAAGAGCAATAAGATTTGAGGAAAAAGTAGAGGAAAGTGAAGGGAAGCCGTTACTCAGGAAATGTCTGGAGGAGAAGATTAAAAGTCAGATGGTAACGGAATGGGGAAAACAAAGAATAAGGAGCTTAAACGAGAGTGGATATAGTCAGGAAGGAATAGAAGAACTTAAAAGAAGAGGGGAAAAGATGAGCGAAAAAGTGAAGGAAAGAGAGATAGAAGTAGACAGACAAACATTACATGGGAAGATACAAAGGGCGAAATACAATGAAAGGTATAAGGAAATTGAACCACACACGCAGTTACCGGAGTATTTAAGAAAAGAGGGGAAGAATATGGAGATGAAACGGAAGCCAAGGGCACGATGTGGAAGTCTGGAGGAAAGTAATAGATATTGGGAAAAGGAGGAAAATAGGAATTGTAGGCTATGCAAGGAGGAATTAGGAACTATAAGACACCTGATAAGGGAATGCAAAGAGTTAAAAAGGACAGCACTAAAAGAACAGGATATAGTAGCAGAGGAGAGCAAAGAGGAAGTAATGGAATGGTGTAGAGAATTGGAAAAGAAAAGGAAGGAGCTGCAAATAACAGATATAGGATAATAAAAGACAACCAAAGAAAGTATAAATATAAGGGGGGGGGGGAGAAAGATAGAGTATGTAAAACAAATGTATTATGTTGTGTTGTATTATGTAACATCTTGTCACATTATGTTATGTATTATTGTGTTATATTTTTATATATATTTCATTTTATATTTTGTTATATAAGTTAGAATAATAAGAGTAAAATAGAGTAATAGAGGAAAATATAGTAAAGTAAGAAGAGAAAAGAAATAGGAGCGTGAAGTATGAGGGAGGAATATGAGCGACGAAAGTGAGAGATTTAGTGAAGAAAACAATGTAAAACTGAGTCCATTTTTTGGCAGAAATGCAGAAATAAAGTATCTGATCTATCTATCTATCTACTTAGAATGCCTGGATAACGCTCTTCGTAGCACTTTCATCGTATCAGGTTTTAAGAATGGGTATGTTACCATGGAAATTAAATTTCTAAATGCAGGCTCATCCCATAAAACGGGCTTTAAAATAGCAGTGATACTTTGGAAAAGATGTGTAGTAGAATGTGTAAGACTCGCCGGCAGAGGACTATCACAGAATGTTGTATAATCTAATGCCAAAATGCAGGAATCGATGCAACGTTGACAAAGCGATTCCTTAATCTTTTCGGACCTGTTTACTATCCAATGGCACCAGGCTTGAAGGGATGCTAATAACTGTGAATGACTAGGCAGAAAAGGACATCATTAACACTAAGTTTACAGACATTTCTTATACAGGGTGGTCCACATAACTCTTAACAGCTCAATATCTCGAAAACTATGCCATCGATTTTAAAGTTCTTGGTCTTAAATAGCATGAATCTGAAGGGTCTTTGTAACTATATAATGGTGAAGTGCCCCCCCTTCCCCTTTAAAGGGGGCGGGGGCAACTTTATAATTTTAAATGGAACCCCCTATAAAACGTTACATATTTAGATTCTGCAGGAAAAAACAAGTAAATTTTGTCTGAAACATTCTTTTGTCAGATATTTCCATGATGAGATATAACAGTTTGAAGTTTCGACTTGTAGGTACTTATTTGAAGCGTTCGAAAATTGCGTTATAGAATTACACGTGCTTGAGTCCTTTGCTTATTCGTGAAGAAATGAAATGTTCAAAGTGTCCACCACGGCTTGTAAACATTTATTTATTCGAAACATCAAAGTTATTCTAACATTTGTTAACATTTCGGGAGTAACCGAAGCGCAAGCGTCACGTATTCTTTGTTTCATATTCTCTTTTGTCGTCGGAGGTTTAAACATAACTTTGTCCTTTACATATTCCCATAAGAAAAAATCTAATGGTGTTAGATCGGGGTATCAAGGAGTGACTCCCAAAATGTTAACAAATGTTAGAACAACTTTGATGTTTCGAGTAAATAAATGTTTACAAGCCCGCGGTGGACATTTTGAACATTTAATTTCTTCACGAATAAACAAAGGACTCAAGCACGTATAATTCAATAACGCAATTTCCGAACGCTTCAAGTAAGTGCCTACAAGTCGAAACTTCAAATTGTTATATCTCATCATGGAAATATCTGACAAAAGAATGTTTCAGACAAAATTTACTTGTTTTTTCCTGTAGAATCTAAATATGTAACGTTTTATAGGGTGTTCCATTTAAAATTATAAAGTTGCCCCCGCCCCCTTTAAAGGGGAAGGGGGGGCACTTCACCATTATATAGTTACAAAGACCCTTCAGATTCATGCAATTTAAGACCAAGAAATTTAAAATCGATGGCATAGTTTTCGAGATATTGAGCTGTTAAGAGTTATGTGGGTAAAAAAACAACTTATTTTACTTAATATTCAATTTATGATCTCATTAAATTGATGCGTATCCATAGAGATAGGTATACCACATAGAAAATTTCGAGGTTAGAAGGCATTCAAAGTGCGTCAAAATGACGCGTCCCGTAAACCTAGTATTAATATTAATCGTTTGAGTATCACAGGTTATTGTAGAAATTGGTCGGAAAATGCCAAGCAGCGCGACCGCATTTCTTTCATTCCGTGTCTAAAAATGCCGCATCTTATGTTATACCAGTACTTACAATTTCATAATTGATTAGGTTACATTTAGCAATAATGCAATTATAGATTTACAAAAATACTTGCGTTTGGCAATTTAAACCCATAATTTAAGTGTTTATATTATTAAAAAGGTCGAACCCTATGGACCGATACCGTGGTATTTTTCGACACGGAATTCGAGCACCGGAATTGCGCAGCGCTGTACTTAAATGGTTAAATAGTTTTACAGACTGGAATAAAAGTCATGCACTATTTTAAAAGTACATGCGGTACGTTAAACGCAACATAACGGCTAGACTTTCATTTACTATCATTAATCATTGAACATTACTTACACTTCTATAAGATCTATCACAATTGCAGCAGGTTGTAATGATGCTTTGTACAATTGGTTAGTCTTGGCAAATTTACATGCATCCAGTGTTTGGGACACTACTTCCTCAGCTAATGACTGATCAATACTTTGTTCATTCCCTGTTTTCATAAAAGATGTCGTGTTTATATATATCTTAACATTATTATAAAAATGTTTAACTTACGTACCAAGAAAGAGTGAATATAATCTGGCTAACGCTTGAGTAGTGGAAGCTAAATCACGCAAATGAGCATGTACATTAGATGCTTCACAATCATTTAACAAAATTACTTGGTTGGTAGCTATAGCAGCGCCTAATTCTCCAAATATTATTAATCCTTCTTTCCATGAACGATACTGAAAAATTGTCATTAATCAGAAATCAACAATTAAGTTAAATGCTTCCACGGTTATAATATAAGACTTTACCAGCAACGTAAATACTGGAATTGGAGAAATTTCTGCGACTTTCGCCAAACATTCTACATTGCATCTCAAAAAATGTTGCCACTCAGTTTCCTCCTAAAATACAATATTGAAGTAAATACATAGTAAAGGAAAAACTTCTATAACCAATTCCAGAAAACTATTTACATTTTCATCTAAACTTTCAGTGTCAAGATCTTTCAGCGTACGCGTGTTGAGTTTAAAACTCATTTTTTGCAGTACTCGCTCGGCAAGGGCTAATGCTACTGGCGAATAGCGAGATTGAGTACTTTCTAAGAGAGTAATCCAAACATCTAAGCATCTTAGATATCCGTTTACTGTTGAACACTGTTGAAAAGTGTGATGGCACAAAACTTCTAACAATGTATTCACTGGAAATTTAGGACACGACTCAACTCTCTTTAGATGGTTCGTTACAAATAATTGCAAAAACTCTGTCAGCTTCTCCATATAACTATAAATATTAAAATATACTATTAGAATTGATTACAATACAAAAGTATTTGAGTATATAAGTACACACCTTTCATCTATGGAATCCAAACGTTCCATATACTGAAATAATGTAACTCCATTCTGGAATATTTCAACTAACAATCCATCAGTTACATCTGGAGAGAATAGTGGTCGATATAAAAGTTCATTTATTGTGGTCACAGCCTGTACAGCCACTTCTATCTGCTTGCCATTCTGTTAATAATACTTATAATTAGCTGTAATTTTTTTTAGACAACCTTGAAATACTTTTGTTCTACTGAAATCCTACCATTGCTTCATGATACCTGGCACACGTAAAAATGACATCTAGTAAGTTTGTTAAGATATGTTCCGAAGATTCAATCCAACTAAACATATGCGCTAATACATCTAGTGTAGCTATACAGACATCACTGGTTCCTGTAGCTAGTCCTTCCACATCCAAAATAGCCCTTGCAGGTGCTATGGTCTGACCACTGGTGGGTGAAGGAGGTGGCGTGACTGTTCCAGATCGGCTTTGTAATTTTGTTGTTTCTCTTAAAAGTACTGAATAGGTAAGGTGTTATTAAATTTTATTAAAAATTTAAATAACATAACAAAATATTGAAAAGAATTATACTTGTGAGAGTGTCCAAAGTCAAAGGCACTTGAGCACTAAGAAACCTAAACAATTCATTCTTTCTCTGTACAGACAAATCTTTCCTTGGTGTTGCTAATTCCTCTGAAGCTGTTCTCAAGTAGATGAGTCCCAGCAGTCTTGTGTGTTTGTGACTTAATAACTTGCAACATATGTAAAAACATTAGGCATTAACAAAAAGTTGTTTGATAGAAAATATTGTACCGTAATGTTGGTACTATCACTAATACTTATTATTCATATTTCTCAGACTATAACAGTGCTTGGATAATTGAATTCCTGTTTGATGAAAAGTGTCTTCTACATCACCAGACAGTACCAACATGTCTCTTTAAGAGCAAATAGTATATACATACCTGTAAAATATTTGAGTAAAAATCTGGATAGAAATGTGGCCAGTCATGCCTAGCAATATCTACGACTAGTTTGACTACTTTATTTCTTACGAAAGGGGCTACACCTCTTTCTAATGATAATGTATATAGAGTGGATCTTGTGAGAGCTCTGTCCTCCCATGGGAGAATTGGCCACCGCCTTCCAATTGTTGTCTACAATGACATTTTAATCCAAGATAACAAATCAATAGTATTCAAAATTGATGAAAGTAGACATACATACCTCCAAGGTGGACAGAGCAAACATACTAACATAATGATTATTGGTAGAAGACAAAAAATGTAAACAAGGCTGCCAAGAATCAATTTGTCCAGCGAATTCCTGAAAACTTCTCTCAATCGTGCGTTTTCGCTCATTGCTTGTCTCTGGAGAGAAGAACTCAGTCATAAGGTGTTCCAAATTTTGCAGGGCAGCCACATCATTGTCCTACAAATTTAATGCTTATTATGTGTTACTACTGAAACCTTCTAGACAGTATTTAAAAACTCGTTGCACTATGTATATATGTATTCGAACGATCCGCATGTGTTTAATTCAACATGCAAAATAAATTTATACAGATATACGTACCATGATATCTACAACTCAAAATCACGTCTTGTTATAAACGCAGTATGCAAATACACAAATATAAAAAGATTAAGCTTTCACTTGTCAGGCGTCATGTTTGAGGCATCAAAATAACTAGGGTCAGAGAGGAAATGAGAGAGCTAACGTCCGGGGTTTCGATGTTCCCGAGCAAGTGCTGCCCCCGTCGTCCACCTTAGCATATACAAGAACCCATGGTCCACTTTAGCATGGACACGAATTTATTCCCCTGTGTGGCGGGGGACAGAATACGCCCACGGTAATCCCTGCCTGTCGTAAGAGGCGACTAAAAGGGACTGTTGGGATCGCGGGACTATGGCACCCGCGGTCCGGTGGGGGGGGGAGCTCCGCTTCCCCCACCACAGAGAGGGCGCTCCGCCGTCCACTGGCGGAGCGGGCGCTGGGGAGGTACCGGTCGTGTTCGCAAGAGATCCCGGTGCCTCCCCGCACAGCGCCGAGCCCGGCCACCGTGAGGTTTTAGTGGGTATCCCTCCCGGGCATCCAGCCCGGGGGGTGAGTCCCACACTACCCCCGCCCCTCCCCCCGTCGGGGGGTGCGGGGGTGTGCGTAACGCATTTCCTCACGGAAAAAAAAAAAAAAAAAAAAGGACACGAATTTATTGTGGTTCACCTTAGCATATATTAGAACCACAAAATTTCGCGTCAGCAGAGCCCTCTACCAGTCCGTGTCACACTTTATTGTATCAATTGAAATTGGTTTTATCACCGACTAGGTATATAGACTAGGTGACGTAGTTCACAAATTCACCGTTCTCATAACGTAGAGGGCAGCAGAGAATCCCTGACTTTTTACACTATCGGTATTTCAGAACATGAGACACGAAGTCCCATAAGATGATAGGTCTATCCAATACCTAGTCGGTGGTATAGAATAGACCTATTATCTAATACTTTTTTCTGCCCCACGTTTGCAGGGCTACGTAGGCCTGTTACCATTTTAGTGTCAACACCCGACGTTACCGATAAAGTATGAATTCTGAGTATTATTAGCACAAATGAATCGAAGCGCTGATTTAAACAATCGGACGCCAGCGGAAACACAAAATCAATATTTGGGACGGCTTGATAATACGACATCTAGCGGCAGTACCCAAAAATAAATTTTGTTCCCCGTTACCATCAAGCTGGGTTTGTGTATTTCCTCCGCGAAGACAGTGTTGCCGGAAAGTATCGTGTTTCTGACGCTGTTGCCTCATGTCCCGCATGCAATTCTACCCGTGAGCAGTGATGCCAGAATCGTGGAACTTTGTTCCACCACCACGACGTCCTGGCTACCCCCACTTTATTCCACAGTTTCTGCCACACAAACATACTTTGCGTCTATCCGTGTGAGCTGGCCCGTTCGGGTGTTCCGTAAAATCTACGTTACCAACGCGACTTCCAACAACCAGAGCACGTGCGCAGAAATCATTCCTTGTGCTGACGTCCTGGCTACCCCCACTTTACGTCTGCCGTGCTAGCACACACACACAAGTATATCCCAGCCCTATCCATGTGCGCAGGCCGTTCGAGAGACGGTGAGCTATATTTAGAAAAGAGTGGGGGAAAGCGACCCACGATTCTGGCATCACTGCTTGCCTTGGAAATCCTGTTCGAATACGACTGCGACGAAAATTCACGTTCTCGACGCGGTGCCCCGCAACCCGCAACCTAAGCGCGTGAACAGTCAAGAGGTCCTGTTCGTATCCCAATGCGGCAGTTTTACTTTTTATTTTTAATTATTTTATAATTTCACTTTGTAACCCCTAAGTAAAATAAAAAAGTTAAAAAATATTGACTCAGGAAGCATTTAAAAAGAAGAAAATAAATGTTTTCCACTTCAATGTATAAATTTTTTATTATATACATACATATTATGTTGTATACAAATCTATTTGTCGAACGTAATGTAAATGCTTCAAAAGAAGCGGTTTCAGAAACCTACGCAAAAAGAATTGAAGCAGCCGTGTAAAGACAGCTGCAATTCTTGAACAATTTTCATTCATACGTTATGTGGCGACACAAATTATATGTTCTCAAAAATACTCTGACTTGTGTTGTGTTTCAGTTTATTTTCATCAGAAGAATCTACTAAATTCGAAACTTATTCATAACATATTTTAAACAGTCCATTGAAAAGAGTAAAAGTTCAAATTTTTATTCATGCGTGATTCATTCTGTGTGCTACACTATAGCCCGCGGATGGGTAGCCGGAGTCTTCTAGGGTATGATAACATCTCTCCCCGCCGAGGCCTAGCGTCTAATTTGATTTGATCGGCGTGGTTCTCTCCATCCCGGCTTGAAGTCAACCTGAATCTGACTTGATTACCCCATCACTCGACTTGGCTAATGCGTCTGTTTATTTCATTTCGTTTCTGCTCATTATCAGTACCATTACGAATACACTAGGTTATTTTTCTCGAAAACAAAACCTCAACCTAAAAAAAATTATTCTTTTTCTTCGACTTATTTTTTCGTATAGAATCGCCACAAGGTTGCTGTACCATAATTTTGGGGACACCCTAAGTATACACATTAAGAGTCGGCCCTGGTAAAGCAAGGCTGACACCTTTATTACGTATTCAAAATAATATTAAAATAGTTAGCAATAATATGAAAATAACTATTTTAAAAAAACTCGAATAATCAACAAATGAATAGATTTACTAATTAAAACATCCATTGTATTAAAAGTCATTTGTATTTATGTGGGACACTAGGAAAATTTGATCGTATAACTATGGTTAATATAATTTCTCTGTACTATTGTTTCCAATTCAAAAACAGTTTTCATTAATTTAATTATGTACAATATATTTCAACAAGCGCCACAGACACTCACGCGTCACACAAAAACACTCATTATATAAACCAACGTAAATAAATATGTAATTAATTCAAATAATTTGTGTTTACTGTTATTTATCGTAAGAGTTTGCTAACACTGTTTCGAGAGCTCAAATTAATGTCATAATAATTCTCGATCCTGGTCTTATCAACATCAAGTGGAATAATCACTATTGTAGAATCATTTACTACTCATCAAGCACAAGTTTTTGATTTGTTCCTTAATCTTATTAGGCTATTATCATAATAAATATAATGCACATATATTTATGTACAGTACACACAATATAATGTAAATCAGTCGTCTCCTTTAAAACAGGGGTTAAATAAAAGAATATTGCACATGTTAGTTCATACCCAGAAATACTGGTTGAAAATGCGCTCTGTAAGTATCACAAATTCCACTTAAATTCACCCCTTCATGCTCTATATAAGGTATTGATTTCTTTACTTTTCTTTCGATTGATCGCTCATATAATCTGATAAGCGGGATCAGAGATGATTCTGCAAGTATTTACAAAAGAAAACCGCAGGAAAAAGAAACTGCTTCATACGTTGAATTATTCCAGATAATTCTAGTAGCATACCACGCTAAAGTTATCAGACTTTTTAAAACGGCTTTTATAACTATATACGAATAACTTATCTAACAATTACATTTACATTCAGACATTTCATACAAGCATGATTTCAATATATCTTAACTCTTTGTTGTATATACTATACTTTATTTAATATTGTATGAGCGAAGCATTTGAATCAAGCGTACTTTCCGATCAAACAGATTCATTGCAATCCCAACAATCTCGATTTAGTTTAAACAAGTATCGTTACTAAACCTATTTTAATCAAAAGAATTTTCTCACCATCTTCCTAAAACCAGTGGTTTTCCTGTCCTTTTTTTTTGGCATCGATATGACACTACTGTTTCTAGATTCATCACTTTGATCCACTGATACACCATTAATAGTTGTATCACAGTCAGTACAAACATTTTTGGGCAATGACATTGAAGCAGTAGGACCCGTTCCTACAGATTTATCATCGATATTGTCCGAATTTTTACTCTGTTCCCCGTTTACAGAATTGTACAAATGAGCTTTTCTCTTTTTTCTTGTACTCAGAGCAGTTTTTATAAAGAAGGATGTTGCGTTCAATTTTGTATCTTTCAGGATTACACCACTATTATTAAAATTCAAAACATCTGTTGACAGTTTAGCATCTTGTTCGTGTGGATTAACACTTTCTGTAAATATGTTTACCGCCAATGAATTCGATTCGTTCAAATCTTCAATATATGAACTACTCAATTCGTAGCTTTCTACAGACTCTGTTTCAAAATTTGCGTTGCATGGTATTGTTAGTTGAACACTGTCTTCAGATCCATAATTATTAAACCAGTTAACTGTATTCTCCGAGGCAAGCAGCGCCCTTCTACAAATTTGAGAATTATTTACTTGAGATGTTTCAATAGATGAAGTACTTCTTGAAGCTACTTCTTCATTACGCACAACAATATTCGGTGGGGGTTTATAATGTACAATTGTATTCATTCGTCCGTCATTATTAACATTCACATTGCTACTACTACACGCGGCTTCTTTTTTCCGTTTCTTCTTTCTTTCTTTCTTAGTTTCGTGAGATCTATCATCTATCATCAACTCGCGGTATGTGCCAGTAATATGAGAAGCTATCTCGCTGGGTCGTCGCTTTTTACTTTTCTTTGTGTGCGAACTAAAATTTTCTGCACTCTTTCGTCGCATCGTGTCTTTCTTCAATTGCTGTTTTGCGTTTCTCTCGAACTTCTTGGTTCCTCGACAGTACAATAGAACCAAAAATATTAAAAAAATTTGAAAACATAACAACAAAATGTATTGACCTATTATTGAAAATGTTCCACGCCAACTATTCCGATCATACAAAAGATTCTTCACTGATGCTGACAGAGTAGTTATTTCTTCTTTTAACATGGCGATTTCTTCTGCTCTCTTTAGTTCACGTTCATCTCTCTTTCTTGTTTCCTCACTCATTACTGATAATGTACGCTCCAGTGACCTCTGCATTTCTTCTACTTGCTTCTTGTAACGTCGACTTAGCTCCTCCAAATACTGTCCACTCAGGGACATGTTTCTTTCCAATGCCTAAAAATGCAATTATAATAGTTAATAATTATGTTAGAAGAAAATTAAAGTATACATCTGGACTGCATAGTATGTAAAACCGGAGACTGATTTTAGCAATGACGACTTACCTTGATTCTATTAGATAATCTAAGGAAAACAGATTCTTTCTGCGGCATAATGTTTACCGTTGATTGTGTTACAGAAGCGCTTGCAGCAGATCCACTTTGCATCTGCACTGCTTCCCCTTCTAAATCCTTCAGATCTGACAATAGCGTATCGAACGTCAGAGAATCTTGAGAAGACAATTTTACTTCTTGATCCAGTATCTCAGGCTGCCCTTGCTTCCCTTCTTGATCAAATCGTTCCATTTTCTCTATATTAGTTTGTGTACCTCGAATTTCTAAAGGCTCTACGTCACTCACGACATCATCATGCGAGACTTCATTATTATCACTAGTAGTTACTGGAATGGAGGTAGTCGTTTGAGAAGTATTTTCAATCGAAGTACCAGGAGAAACAGATGGTTCTTCGGAAACTTTTATAATTGTGTGCTGTCCACTATTCGGGGACATAGGAACAGTCATTAAAACTTCAGTTGGAACAATTTCTTCTATACTATTTTTGCTGGATTCCAAAACAGGAACTGAGGAATCGTATTTTATTTCTTCTTCCCCAAATGTCTTAACAGATTTAATTTGCGAAGCGAAATTTTCAGAATTCAAGGAAGTCTCAATGAAATTCTCAGTTTCTTCGCTTGGCAGTTCCTGACTAGTTATTTGAAATTCTCGAGAAGATTTAGAACTACCAGTGCTTGAGCTCGAAGTATATATAGCTGATGTACTTTCAAATGTCTTGACTGACTCACTACTATGGTCTTCACTATTTTTATGAGATATGTTTTCTTTACTGCTGTTTTTAGAGTAATTAAATGGTACCTCGTAACTCGTATTCAATACCATTTTGCCTTCTTTTAGTGCTAATATATTGCAAAGTGCTGCAATATATTCAAATTTAAAGATAGATGTTAAGAAAGATGATTTAAAATTTTTAGTTACATTAAATCTTCCTTTTGTATCTCCGACTTCCTCAGTTTCTTCTCCTAGACAATCCACTCCATATTTCTGGCAGAATCCAGTTTGTTTTAAAGTTCCATACACCAGGTTCATACTTAACACTTGATGTAGTTGACGATTCCTACAGCTAACTAATTGGAAGACTTTTGCAAATTTCTGAGCCGTGCAATTTTTACAAAGAATCGTGTATCTTGGTGTTGTACAACTTACAAAAGAATCTCCAAGAATAATGCTGTCCTCTATACTTTGCTCAATTGTAATGTTGTTATCAGTTAATTCACTGGATTTACCCAGGACCTGGGCTGCTTTCTTTACGATGCTTAACACAGCATCTCTAGCGCTACCAAATAAGTTTCTTGATGATTCGCTAACTTCAACGTCTAAAGCTTCCTCTTCATCGCTATCTTCATCGTCGTCCACGTTTATATTTACTTCTCTCGAGATTTGATTTTCCGTCTCCGTTTCTAGGACCTCAAATTCGCTGGTACCGTAAGCACGAAATAATGAAATGGGACAAAAATGTTCAGACCCATGGTACGTATGAAGTTCCACTTTAATAAATTTTCCAAAAAGATGTGGTTGTAAGGCAAAACTTTGAATATCCTTTACATCTTTTGCAGTGAACTGACCAACTACACTCCAGTCTCTTGTAGGAAAACGATCGCTAATGTATACCGAAAAGTCCTTTGGAGATGAACTAAATAATTCAAAATTGGCCAACTCAATTTTTTTGGCCTGGATGGCCTCACAGAGTTCCACCACAAACCATATGCGAGATGTACAAGTATTTAGCATATATTCATCTCTAGTAGATGCTAAAACGCTTCTAGCACTTCTAGCTTCTAGATTCGTTGCTACAACTTTTGCCCCACAATCGGGAGAAGCATAATTTTTAGAACGAACTTTCATTCCACCAATTCCTCGGGTTGGTGTTCCAGAATTTTGAACCGATGCATTTGGATGAGCTGGAAACAAAGAAGTTCACATTACACATAACATGTGTAACACAGTTAACAAATATTATGCAAATTTAGCACTCACTCTTTTTCTTTTCAGCTTCTTCCAGTCTTTTTTGTGTCCATTCATTGAAAGATGGAATATCTTCGTGGGGATCATGAGATCCCTCGGGCACAATTTTTTTAGGAAGCATAATTGTGGCAGCCTCATCGCTGTTATGTCCCATTAATTGAGCTTTGGCATCAGTATCTCTGATCTCAGGAGCTGTCGTAACTATTTCATCTACTTTTGTAACCTCATCGGGAAATGTTTTAACCTCATCTTCCGGAAACTGTGTCTCATCAATAATTGGACCTTGTTTAGCTCTTACTATCACTACTCCTTCTAATGTCTCTTCCATAATTTCATTTGGCAGTAGTAACAATTCTTTTTCAAGAACACTTGTTTTGTTAGATGTTTCAGCACTTTCTTCAATAATTGTCGACAGAATTTGTGTACTGGGTGAAGTTTCTACATGTGCCTTTTTCGTTTCTTCCTCATCATTAGTTGTTTTTGTTAACAGGGACAAATTTTGTCCAAATAATCTTGCCCTTGAAAATTCTGAACTAAATTTTGGTTCTACTAAGCTTTGTAATTCAGCTGTGGCTGTATCTACCAAAGTCAACACTGCAGCTTGTTCAGTTACAGAAATTCTGTAAAAAATCAACTATATGAATGTAATTATAAATATTTGAACATACTCATTGTCTCTTTTACTCTCTTGTATCACTTCTTTAGAATGAAGCATAATAACCATTATTTAACACATGCAAGTCTTATGTCACAAATATTATGTAATTTGTAGTAATGAGATTTTCCTTCTAGTGTTGACATATAATAGCAACTTACCTCTGAGATAGATTGGGTTGTTGCAGAAGACTCTCGGCCACAATATCTGCACCCTTATATGGATTCTCTTTTTTCCTTGTTTCACCACTTACAATAGTTTTAAACTTGGTGGATTCTTTAGTCAATTTTTCCTAAAAATGATTATGATGATGATTCAAAATTATACAGTTTTGTATAAAGAATATAAACCAAATTTTATATAATATATGATATGAAGAATACTTTTACACAATTAATAATGTTTGCTTATATTTTAGATTCTTACTCGATAATAATGATCTTTATAATTGGTCTCTAATTTTCTTGGTTTCTGTATTTTGACAACAGCTATTTTAGATGAATCCAATGTATCATTATCATAAGTCTCTGATGTTTCATTCTTCTTAAAGGATGAATAATAATTAGCTTCTGCACTTTCTGAAGCTACTATGATGAAGAGGAGGGCACTATGAGAAAAGATGAAAAGATGTTTTAACTGGCAAGGTATATGTGAAATACTAACTGACGAAAATATTAAATGAAAATGTAAACATTTATATATGTATGCATTTGTTTGATTATACTTTGTGAAACATAATTTTAAATATTTATTTCGTTTATAAATACGTGTTTATGATCATATTATCAATCAGCGATTTTTATTAAGTTTCAGCAATATCGATTATTTATTTAGAATGCACGAGATTTAAAAATTAAGATAGTAAAATAATACTTGGTCAGCTTTTTGGGTCTCTTTTTACTTTAATATGGCTTCTGTATTATTACAATATTGACTTAATATTTGTACACTTATGTTTACAAAACTATATAAATATAGTTAAAAATTTATTTATAAAAAGTATGAAGTACAATATAAAGAAAAATTTATTACAGAACAGAGTTTAAAATAGATATTTATCCTGCATGTAATTTAGTAAAATCATAGAAAATTGTATAATACATAGGATTAGAAAAATTTCCTTTCAATTAAATAAAAATTAATCAGAAACATTCTCTTAAAGATGTATCTATACTGTAATTAGGGAAACACTTACATATTTTAACAGAAATAAAAAATGTTACATTAGATTTTATAATTGCTATATACCTATTGGAAAACATAAAATACCAAAACGGCTGGTTACTTTTAATGGTTCGAACATCTAAGACAATAAATTTAAGGACACATTTCATTGCAAGAACATACTTTTCCTATTTAGGTTTCAATGAAACGTACCGGTTTAGCAATGCACTAATACTATTAAAATAAAGCGCGTGGCAACCCTAAGCACTCTCGTATATGTGAATAGTTAATAAACGAGTGAACAATGTACTTGCCTGGAAGCGACTGATATAAAAAGTAATGTCCAATACACGCACGTTACGCAAATCTTCATTTTTTACGGGCCTCATATTACTATTCACATTGAGGATTCTGCTGCCAGCAGAAAAATACTTTTCTAAACGTATATGACAATGTCATTGCTTTACCACCTTACCACCGTGCACCACCGTGATTGCCGCTGTTGCGTATTCGCAACTGGTAATATTTAGAATAAGCGCCATCTGTTCAGAATTTTAGGAATAAGTACATGTAACTACACTGTCATCTGTAGGCGCAGATTGAAATTAGGCGCGGCAAATATGAATTGTACAACAACGTAACTGAGGCAATGAATCAGGGTATTAGATAACTAATTATTGATTAAATGTCAAAATGATAACATTGATGATTAGAAATTACTCGTATTTGATATTTACTTTTGGTTGTCATGAGGAAACATTGCTAAGGTATTAAAAACGCTTGTTCCCCGTAATGATTAGATCCAATAGGATGAAAGTAAAATTATTTATTAATTCCTAATTGGATGTTAAATAATTGTATTTTGTTAAAGGCTGAAGGTACGCGTTCTTTTTGTTCAACGAGGATTTTATTGCCATTTTGACGGATTCTTAATCAAGTACTCAAGTTGTTCGGACGTACTTTATTAAATAGCGAAAAAGCACAAATAACTTTAATTTATTGTTAATTCAAGTTTATTGTTCATTTCATAATTTTGTTAACAAGTTCAAATACAACTTCCTGAGTTTTATTTCATTTATCGAGTATTTATTGACGCTAACTCGAGAAGAGCGTATCAGCGCTCCACCTGGACCCGAACCCTGCCTAAATTCTCAATTACAAAATCTTTATAAAACGGCCACGCAACACCGCCATCGCTACCGCATTTATTACTATTACCGCTGCCAGGCTGCCACCACTGTCACTAGGTAGTGCCACTACCTTCGTCTTTATGACTAGAGAGGAAATGAGATTGCTAACGCACCTCTGTGAAGTTAGCTGGACAACTTTAACTGTTTAACTTTTCATTATACTGTTGCGGTCCCCGCTCATATCACGTAGCGGTATATGTCATAAGCTTTACAGGCGCGAAGTT